ATCCTCCAGGCAAAACCCTGCTGGTCACTAATACCTACAGATTAATTGTACTAATCCAATGTGATCAAGGGGAGATGGTTGGCTACTTGGCACTATTTTGGTCCCTCGCTTATGAAACTCCATCTCCGTGTTTGAAAGAAAAGTCTTTACATAACCCTAATCACTCAGATAAGAAAAGGACTAAACTGTCCTGAAACATTTTATCTTCTGCACAGATGCTGCCTATGAATTTTGACTTGATTAAATAACACGGCAACATAATATTTTGTTCTGATTAACAAATGTCCCTCTGTAGGAAGGAAGGAGCAAGTCTGCTCTCTCGACCGGCTGTTTGGTGCAAACAGAAATGGGGATGGATGGAGGTTGGAGGTTCTGGCAATTGAGAGTTGCTCAGAAAATGGCTAAGGGGCACTGGAAAGAAACATCCCGTTGTGTCACCGAATGGCCTGTGACACACATCTGGCTCAGGGAGGTCCCCAAATTGTAGCCCAGGTGCCATCAAAAACCACAAAGCAAAATTAAGGTCTGGGGCAAGCCACGGGAAGGGGACAGGAGAGCCTGGGGACTTGCGTCTTAGCTGAGTGCACCAGCAGGAGATTTGTTAAATAAAAGTGGTTTGTATCTTTTCCACCACGCCTACGTCCCGCTTCTCCAAAAAGGGCCTTCTCGTGCCCCAGGACGCACGGCACCGGGCTGGCGCGGGGAGGAGCGGTTCTGGGATGCTCAGGATGCGAGGTGCGAAGGCGAACAAGAGAGCTCTCGTTCTCGATTCCCGCCCTGCTGCTCGTTCCCCGTTGATGAGCTCCTGTTCGCAAAACTGTGATCACCGGCACAGAGTAACGGTCTGAGCAGGAGGCAACCAGGATGCACCAGGCGCTTGGAGACAGTCATCGTTTTCACCTGTATTTTGCCTCTGTTTATGACTGATTTTTGCAGACTGATTTACGCCAAGCTGAGGACCTTGCACGTACTTTTCCAGATGTTTATAGAGAGACTTGAAAAGTTGAGTTCCTTCCCTGTGATTCCTATAGCAAAACCTCGGCCTCACACCATTTCCCCTTCAGACCTGCCATGGGATGAAGGGACGAATCAAGATGAGGATGCTGGTGTCCCGGTCCCAGGTGGATGCTTCCATCCCACACTCTCACCTCCCCCACCTCCCTCCCATTCGGGATGACTTGAATCCAACAGCACTGAAGCATAGCTTTTTCTAGCACAGCCTTTTATTAAAAAAATAGAGACAAACTACCTGCAAATCAGAGGAAATACAGAAAAAATCTAGGGGAAAGAGGTGACTCTCATAGCTGGAGGATCCTATACAGCAAAAGTATGCTGGGAGGTGATATTGAAAAGGAACATTGCAAAAATGTAATTTATTTTGCTTTGTAAAAAGAAATGTAGGGAAGAACAGCAAATAGCATTGGATCACATGTTAATATTTCTGTGGGTGTTCACTGCTAGTTCCTCAGTCTCCTGCACGGCTACCTTCTGCCTACCAATAAATAACACCAAAGTCATAAAAAATATACCTCGGAAGTAATCATCTCCCCCTGTGTGGATTATACCGGCCTTTCCACGCCCCTGTCTGCCCCAGCTCACTGCCTCGGGGAGCCACACGCAGCCGGGACCGTTTGCAGGCAGAGCTTCGTCAGCACGGCGCGGCGCAGCCAGCAGATTGTTCAGGGTTGGGACGTTTTTGCGACAGAGGCATCTGCGGTGCTGACTCCACGCTCCAGTTATGTCTTATAACTGCTGGCCATTGCAGCCTGTGTCCCCGCAGCCCCTGCTCTTTTCCCAAATAGATTGGCTGCTGTGGGCTAAAAATGCCATGAACCGATGGAGATGCCTCCTTCCGAGCGCAGCTCCCCTTTGCAGCCCATGGAGATGTAGCCAGTAGAGTCAATGAAGTTCTGGAGTGGACATCTAAGTAGGGCAGAAAAATCACTTTCTCCATCTCTCTATTTCTCTCCTTTGATGTTAAATGGGGGATGACTGGCTCAGATCTGTGCTGTAGAGACATGAATTCAGGTGAGATAAAGACAGCCCCGGAGCATGGTGGACCCCCAACCACTGAGATAGGGAAAAATAGATATATTCCCGATCTGCTCTATTTTCTTAAATTGCTATTGGGATGATTTGCAGGTGAGAGGCTTGGTTAGACTAAGAATTCATCTTCATTCACTCCACGGCAGTGAAACTTTTCTAGAAAGCTAATGGAAAGCTGCCCAACCACAGCTCGTGCTCCTGTTCCCCAAAGGAGAGTCCTACCGGGCCGTGCTCATGCTCTACAATTTGTCCTCCTGGGTCTTCTTTGAAAGATGCTTAGGCAAAGCCTTTTCTTCTTGTATCCGTGCCCCAGTAACATGGTCTGTTACCCATCACTCATAATCCCCCTGCTTGGCAAAGCGGTCACCTAACCAGGGCAGAAGTTTTGCCACGCGACGTACGTAACCGCTTTCCGATCATCCCCAGCTCGAGTTTGTTGACGTGCTGCGGGATTATTAGCAAGACATAATGTAAGTTAAAGAAATCAGGATCAGTTAGAAAAGGGGAGCTGGATAATTTATTCCTCGCTGTCATTTAATTCCTGAGAGAAAATCCCCAAACAAGGGACAAGGCGGGGGCAACTGGTCAGCCAGGGCCGAGCCGACAGCCAGCTCGCTGTCTCTATAGCTCGCAGAAATAGGGCAGAGCTGCGCAAAGATTACTGCAGCAAAAACATCTTGCACAAAAAAACCCAAACAAGCTTGAAAGGATTCAAAGCTTTCAGGAAACAGCAGTCTTTCCACCATGGCCTGTTTGCCAGTGAATGATTTAATTCTCTGCTTTTCACGTAATAGTTCAGTGTACCATTATCACGGTCCGTTATCAGTCTGCCTATTTAAGGCTGATGAATTTACCGCCAGTGAAACAAATGCAGGAAATTAAAATTAATTATTTTAGCCAATTAAAACAACAAAAAAGCTGAAGGAAATCTTCAAAATCAAACAGATCTATGTGGGGGGAAAAAAAAAGAACAAGATGAAAACGGTCCTTAATTTTGTGTAACTATCCATTGGCTCATCCGGCAACCACGCTGCGTTTGAAGACAGGCTGGCCCAGTTTTTGCAAGCTAATAGGGGCGTATCGAGCCTTCCTTCAGCTCCTGCCATCGCCTCGTGGCACCGGAGCCCTTTGCTGGCGTTAACGACAGAATATTAATTTAGCGGACAGGACGTGGGGCAGCGGGGGCTGCACTGGGGATGGAGCGCGGGGCGCACGCCGGATCCAGCAACGGTGAGTGCTGGTGAAAGCAGGGAGGGAAGGGGCTCGTTTCACACCGGGTAAATTGAATTGGGGAGGGGCTGCTTGAGCTCCAAAGGCACCCGCAGGTACATAAAGTTAGCACTGTATGGCCGTGGCGGCGTGCCTCGCCACCTTCGTGCAACCTCAAGGGCAAAACCTGGAGGCTAAGGAGGAGGAGGAGGGTTCCAGGGTGCTGCTTTGGGCACGGGGAGCACCCGGCTCTGGGGAGGGGGCAGCGAACCCCCTTCTTGCTCTTGCTGAAGCAAACTCTGGCAGCGACGCCCAGGATGCAAAAGCAGCCAAACCTCCCTGGCAACCCTGACATGGCACTTCAAGTGATCGCCCAGCAAACCCCTTCCTTCCTCTCCCCCAAAACCACTCTGAAGAGCAAGTTGGCTTGGCCAGCTGGCCTTGGGGGTGCACCTGGGAGGTGGCCTCCGCATCGCTAAGCTGGGTCAGAGGGGTCCTCAGGGACAGCACAGCCCACAGGGCCAGTCTCCACGCCAGATGTGGGGAGGCTCAGCTGTACCCACAGTGGGAAAGAGCTTCTGTTAACCCCCAACCCCACCGGGGTCGGTGGGGCACTGGGAGCAACTCAACGCCTCCTTTCCTTGGCTGAGCAATTGAACACACAATTGCTGGTGCCACGCTGTGGCCACCACTGCAAACAGGTGACACAGAGGACGGTTGTAGTGGGCTTCTCCCTGCCCCAGTGCGGCTGTACGTGGCACAGACCAGCGGTCTTCAGGTTCAGGAGCCACTTCTTGGCATTGCAACCAAGCATGTGTTGCAAGAAACAGGTCTGGCAACATCCCACATGCTGCCCTGAAACTGTGGCTGTGCAACTAATGCCCTCAGCTCCATAATAAACATGCCCAGGGATTATCCTGCACAATCAACCCATGCGTGAGGTTATTTTAAACTAGGAACAACAACGTCTTCATACAAACCCTGTGTTAGTTCTCAGCCAGGGCTCTTACTCTGGCTCTGCAAACTAGACTGGGTGGGTGGGTGTTTGCCATCCACGACGAGGGTTACTGACCTTGGCGGCCCTTCCCCAGGTGCCAGTGGGGTCCCCGTCCCCACCTCTTTTGGCCACGACATTCTCCCTTATTTCTGGCTGCAATTTTTCCATGGTAGCAGACCCCGCAATGCTCCACGTGTCTGCAGGACGGCTGGTGCTGGTGTCCGCAGCTGGAAGGCTAAGGACCAACGATGCTCTGCTCCGACTCCTGCCAGGAAGCTGGTGATGGCAAGCCTCATAACGTTTGGTGAGATTTTTGGTCCTTTTCTTTTTTTTAAAGCTCCAGCTCTTGGAGTCATGTGAATATATCCAAAATCACAGATTTCATTTACTTGATTTAAAAAACCCAAGCTTCTCAGCCCTCCTGTTAGAAAATAAAAGCAACAAACCACCTCTTGACATGAGGATTCTTATATAAAAAAGAAGCCAAAATAATGTATTTATATCCCTCCCTTGCCCCCAAATTTCACATTGTGTCGGCCACTTCTGACTGAGGTTTGATTCAGGGATTGCTGTGTGCTGAAGTCCAGATCTTCCCAGGTCTTCCACTCCTGACTCCCACCAAATACTGTGAGATGTTCCTAGGGGAGCAGCTCCCACAGGACTGTGAACCTTGGTGGTGGACACAGCATCCCCATCTCCAAGCGAGCAGGCATCAGCCCTTCCTTCACTGAGAGCTTAATCCTTGCCCTCATGGGACCTCATAGCCATCAGCATCAGACTCTGTCTTCACCACAATGATGGGGCTGCTGTGGTCACCCACTGACTCCGGTGACACACAGCCAGTAGCCAGGTCCTCAGGGGGCTCCTCTCCCTCACCAGGAGGGCTTTGCTTATTGAGGTGGTTCCTCTGGTGCCTCTTGAAATGTCCAATGGTGGTGTAGCTTTGCCCACAGCTGGAGCATACAAAAGGTCCTTGGCAGGTGTAAGTAAGCTGGTGCTTCATGAGGTTGGACTCCTGTGAGAAGCTTTTGCTGCACTGGGGGCACTGGAAGGGTGCCTCTCCCGCGTGGACCAAGATCTCCTTTCTCTTGAAGTCCTTCCCGCACCTGGCACACTTGAATGGCCGGTCCTTGGCATGGGAGGGCTGGTGGAGCCAGAGCTGGGCCCTGTCAGGGAAGACCTCCCCACGCTTGGTGCAGCAGTTGGGCTCATATTTGATGTGGACCTGCTGGTGGGTAATGAGGGCAATCTTGCGGAAACCTCTCCCACAGGTGGCATGGGTGAAGGGCCACTCCTCACCCCAGAGTCCAAGGGGAACTGGGACTGGTGGTGGCTGGTGCTCCCACACATGGACCCGCTGGTGGCTGGTGAGGGTGACCTTCTAGGTGAAAGCTCGGCTGCAGGCAGCACGCGGGAAGGGGCGCTCACCAGTGTGGGTGCGGTGGTGGACTGCCAGCTGGGCCTTCTGGGCAAAGCCCTTCCCACACTCGCTGCAGGAGAAGGGCCACTCGCCAGCGGGGAGCCGCCGACAGGGGACAGACAGGCTTTCCTCATCTTTGCCAGCCACCTTGGCATTGGCATCAGCATTGGCATTGGTCTTGACACTGGCATTGGTGTTGGTGTTGGCGTTGGCATTGCCATTGGCATTGGTGTTGACATTGGCATTTGTGTTTGCACTGATGTCTTCGCCACCTCCCTTGTCCCTGCCACGCTCATGGATGTGGTGATGCTTGACCAAGGAGATCTTCTGGCGGAAGCCCTTGCTGCAGGTGGGGCAGGGGAAGGGCCGGTCACCAGTGTGGATGCACCGGTGGACGGTGAGGTGCAACTTGTTGCCGAAGCGCTTGCCACAGTCACTGCAGGGGTAGGGACGCTCACCAGTGTGGACGTGCTGGTGGGTGACCAGCTGGGTGCACTGGGCAAAGCGCTTGCCTGGTGTGGGTCCACTCATGCTTGGTCAGCTCCCCCTGCTTGGCAAAGCCCTTGCCACAAGCCCTGCAGCGGTGACCCTGGCCCTCAGCATGAGCCCGCTGGTGGTTGGCCAGGTTGCCCTTCTCAGTGAATGTCTTCCCACGCTGCCCACAGGTGTGGGTACCACCAAGGTGGCAGGCTGCCCAACGCCTGCAGTATGGGAGTCTCCTTCTGTGCATGGACACGGCGGTGGGCCATGAGGCCGACCTTCTGGCTGAAGTGCTTTCCACAGGTGGTGCAGGTGTGGGGGGCATGTTGGGGATGGTGGCCCTGGTGCTGCTGCAGCATCTCCCTCTTGCTGCCAAAGTGGTCCCCACAGGCTCCGCAGACATGGGCACTGGGCCGCTCATGGGTCCGCTGATGCCGGTTGAGGTGGATCTTCTGCCAGAAGCACCGCCCACATGCTGGACAGGCGTAGGGCTCCTCCCCAGTGTGAATCCTCTGGTGGGTCACCAGCACTGACTTCTTCTTGAACTCCTTCCTCCAGGTGCCACAGCAGAAGATCTTCTCCCCTGCTGGAGTGGATTCGTCCATGATGGCCCTGGCGGCATCCTGCTGGGCCCCCTTGGTGCTGTGAACACTCTGGTGCTTGATGAGGGTGATCTTCTGGTGGAAGCCACAGCCACACACCCCGCAGTTGAAGGGACGGTTGCCTGTGTGGATCTGGTGGTGGGCCACCAGCTGTGACTTGTCCATGAAACTCTTCTGGCAGCTGCTGCACTGGTGGGGCTTCTCACCTGTGTGGATCCACTGGTGCACGATGAGCTGTGACTTTTGGGTGAAGTTCTTCCCACGGTCCAGGCACCTGTATGGCCGCTCACCTGCTTGGATCCTTTGGTGCTCTTTGAGTTGTGATTTGGTGATGAACCTCTTGCCACAGTTGGTGCAGGGGAATGGTCTCTTGCCTGTGTGAGTCCAGAGGTGCTTGGTGAGGTCAACCTTCATCCTGAAGCTCTTCCCACGCTCAGTGTAGGCATGGGGCTTCTCCATTCTTTCAGGATCACTCTGTGTGCTGTACTTGCTGTGGCCTTCCCCACTGGCCTCCCCTCCAGCTCTGATGACTTCTTGATCATGCAGCTCTCCAGCCCTGTCAGCATTGCCCTCCTTTTCACAGCCTTCAGCCTCTATCTCCTTATGGGATTTCTGGTGGGCTGCCAGGATGTCCTTGTGCTTAAAACTGTCTCCACAAATCATACAAGTGTACGACTTCTCCTGAGTGTGGCGGAGAAAATTCTCTACCTCCAAGAGCTCCAGCATCATCATGGCTTGCTGTTCCATCACCTGGATCTTCAGAGGTGGCTTGGGTGGTGTTCACTAGGAGAGGCATAACTGGGAGTCCTCTTGGCCATTGCCACCAGCTTTCCTTGCCTGCCAGGGCTGCTGGGAGGTAGCAGCCATTGGAAAGTGCCCACACTGGCCTGAGTTACCCTTCTTTAGATGAAAGCCTGTGTTTTCCTTCATGAGAGCTGAACCTGAGAAGAAACCAAGGCAGGTGTTATTGTCAAGGCCCACAGGAAAAAAACACACCAGCTGTCATGCAGAAAAGAAAGTCATAAATAAAAGCCCAGCCAAGTTTAGTTAATTCTAGTAAAACCAAAGGCCAAGAGACTGTAAAATCTAGGAAGGGATTGAAGGGGGTTGCTACAACTGCCTGGCACAGGCTGGAGTTTCTCCACATCTCCAGGTACCCATGACAAGAAACGGGTGGTTTGGGGGGTTCCTCCTGCTGTGCTGATCTCTGAGCAGGAACCAACACTTTTCCTTCAGAGGAGTGGTAAAGCCTGGTGGTCATAACCGTCAGGGACCAACTCACAGTCATCAGCATCTCTAGAAGTAAATCCCTCTTGGTGAGGGGCACCCCCAGACAGACCCGTTTCTGGAAGATCCCTGGGGTGGTGCAATCCCTGCTCTGAGCCAGGATGACCAGACCAGGGGCTGGGGCCAGGGCCAGACACGTCTCTTGTGAAGAGTCGTCACTGAGATCATCTGAGCCTCCTTCAGCGCACTGGCAGAGAGGGACCTTCTGGGACCATAAGGGGGAATGTTAAGGATGAGCCAACAGCTGCTTGTCTCTGTGACATATCACGTTGCGCTCCCTGGCCTCCAGCATGGAAATCTCACATCTATGAAACAAAACTGCCCGAGCATTGTCTGAGGCTCACCTGGCTGAGCAAAACCTCGGGGGCTCCCGTCCCTCGGCAGGTGCCCATTTGTTTCTCTAGAGATTTTGTGTTGTGTCCAACCCGGTGAGGGGATGGGGACAGCTGGGTCACAGCTGCAGCCAGACAGGCTGAGGCAGAAGTGAAACTTACACCGATGTCCTCGGTTCCCTGTGGTAGCACCAGGGCAGAGAGTGGAGCCTGTGCAAGGCTGCTGGAGCTGGTGGCCAGGAAGATGTCTGAATGGATGGAGAGGTCCTCCTGGTGTCCAGGAGGACAGCAAGGACTCAATTACTTCCCCTATCCTCTTGCCCTACGGTTGGACTGCCGAAGGCCCAGCTTTGTCTTGGTGTCAGCTTCAATCTCCAGGTTGTCACGCCTGACCCAGCAAGGGGGCAGCCACAACACCACCAGCATTATTGACTCATCTTCGTGAAAAGTCCAGGCTGAAGAGGAATCCCATTTCCCATAGACTTTCTTCATGGGAGAACCAGCACCAAACTGCCCCAGGAACTTACCAGGGGCAGCTTGTGGGGAGGGGTCCCTGATGGTGGTCCAGCCAGCCAAACCTCTCTCCTCCCCTGCTCCTTGACTCTCAAGTGCCCCAAAGTGATCAGGTGTCCTGAGAAGCCCCTGCCCAACCCCTCAGCTGGGCAAAAGGAGCCCTGATCCAGCCATCCCACCAGGCACCCAGGGCGTTTGTAGCATCTCTGCTCCTTTCTCACCAAGAGGAAGGATGGGTGTTGGGTGAGATGTTCTCTGGGAACCTTTCAGTCAGGCTGAGAAATGGAGGTTGCTTTTACTCTCTCTGTGGCGACCAACTTTTCGGAGCCGAGAGATGGCTCGGGGCAAGCTTTTCTCTCCATGGCTATTCCATGCGCTGGGCCGCTTTTCCTGCATGTCAGCACAGCTGGCTGAATTTCGCTTGTGAAACACACGAATGTGAGCGGCTCCTCAGCTGTTCCCTGGGAATACCCCCCCACCAGCAGACACAGGCACAGCTCCTCCTTGCAAGGCAGAGGCTGGACCCATTAACTCATTCCCACCCGTGCCTCCATCGCTCCTGAAAGCACTTGTCACACAGAGGCCCCAGAAGTGTCATTTTTAGGCAGATTTTAAAGGATGGACGCCCCTTCCCACGTCGAGCTGTTGGACCCGCTCCCCGCGTTTAGCCGAGCCGCCTGCACCCGCGCCCAGCGGGACCAGCGGGACCTCTGGCTGCGCCGGCTGCCTCCCGCCGGGGGAGCACAGCCAGGCCTCTCGGGCAGGATTCAGCCTGAGACAAGCGCGGCGATTTGTCCCAGCCAGGGCAGTTTGCTCCACCACAGCCAACGCTGGCAAACGCTCCGGCTTCGTAGCGGTGACCCCAACTTCCAGAGATGTCCTGCTGCTGCCCCGGGACGCTGCGGGACATGCAGCTCTCCTGTCCTGACCCCAGACAACCCAGCTCAGCCATTTACTGACCAGACATCCCACCTCCCTCAGCAGTACGCAGCTCTGGAAGTGTCCAAGTGTCATGGGCCAAATTTCTTTATTTCTACCCACTTTGAGCTCTTCTTCTTCTCCCAGCCACGTTGGTGGCTGCTGGTGCTGCCTCACAGGAAGTCTGTGTCAGCGATGTAAAAACTACCGGGGGAGGAGAGACAGAGAACGAGGAGCTGGGTCAGGGAGAGAAGGGGCTTGGGGGGTAGCAAACAGCAGCCCTAAAACCTCTCGGGCGCGGGTGGGGGGATCCCCAGCCGGCGCTGCCTCCCTGCCCGTACCCCTGCCTGGCTGCCCGGCGCCTGGTCCCCGCACAGGCAGTGCCTGGGCTGCAGGCTCCTGGGAGCTGTAGTCTTCTTCGGATGCCGGCATTTGGTGGCTGAGGCTTGTTTTAGGGAAAAGCAGCACCCACGCTGCAGCAGGCTCGAGACACCTTTAGATTTACATTAGTTCTCTTTTTTTAGCTGCTATTTTTAGGTGGCTGAACTGCACTGCTTTGCGTTAGAAATCCCCATTACGTACCTCCGAGACCTCACTGTGGATGCTTTTGCTCTCTGTTCGTGTGGCTGACCACCCTCAGAGCTGTGCAAGCAAGGAGAGGCATCCTACTCTCCTTTTCCATGACCTTTTTGTCCATGATCTCAAATCACTTTGGAAAAGGGAAAGGCAGTGAGGTGACTTGAAAGAGGATGCTTGGTGAGACAGTGGCAGAGCCCAGCTCTGCATCCTCTGCTAGACACGGTGGAGGAGGTCTGCACCCAGTGAGTTGAAGAAAATTGTTTCCTCCACGTGGCTGTGAGCCTCCGTGTGAGTGTCCAGCTCCCAGGGAGGCTGGGCTGCCTGTTCCTGGGTGCTTTGCAGCAGTTAACAGGCTGCTGGATTGGGCTGTGGCTGTAATTAGCAGCACTGATGCCTGCAGAAATCCACAGTAAATCCACGGTCCTGCCAGTCTGAGTCACGTAGCAGGTCCTGGAGCATTTGGTGGCTGCTGGACATGTGCTAATTCACAGAATCACAGAATCACAGAAGGTAGGTGTTGGAAGGGACTTCTGAAGATCACCTGGTCCAACTCCCCTGCCAAGGCAGGATCACCCAGGACAGGCTGCACAGGAACGCGTCCAGTCGGGTTTTGAAGGTCGCCAGAGAAGGAAACCCCACAACCTCTCTGGGCAGCCTGTTCAGTGCTCCGTCACCCTCACAGTAAAGTTCTTCCTCATGTTGAGGTGGAACTTCCTGTGCTGCAGTTTGTGCCCATTGCCCCTCGTCCTGTCACCAGGCACTACTGAAAAGAGACCGACTCCATCCTCCTGACAGCCACCCTGCAGAGATTTATGGACGTTGATAAGGTCCCCTCTCAGCCTTCTCTTCTCCAGACCGAAAAGCCCCAGGTCCCTCAGCCCTTCCTCGTACGAGAGATGTTCCAGGCCCTTAATCATCCTCGTAGCCCTCCACTGGACTCTCTCCAAAGGTTCCCTGTCTCTCTTGAACTGAGGAGCCCAGAACTGGACACAATACTCCAGATGAGGCCTCACCAGCGCAGAGTAGAGGGGGAGGATAACCTCTCTTGGGTTGATTTGGAGCGATGGAAAACCCAAACCATGTCTCTGAAACAAATGGTGAGGTTCCTGGGCACCAGAGCACAATTTTCTCAACTCTCATGTTTTTACCTGAAACTTTTACCCTGAGTCAGAGCTGGAGCCAGGGATGAGTCCCAGGGCAGAGCTAGATGATGCCATCCTGAACGGAGTTTAGCCGTATGGATGCAAGCCAGCTTGGTGCCCTCAGGCCACTCTGCCTGGCTGTTTGTCACTAGCACCTTGCAGACAGCAGCTCGGGTAGTAAGGGTTGAAGTATTGGGAGGACATGCTCTCAGAATTAGGACTTTTAAAAAAATAGTAGTTTTAAAAAAATGAAAATAACTGTACTGTAAAAAAGGGGTTCAGCCTGTGTTGGTCATTGCCTGTTTTGTGCTCCCTGTGTTTTCTGATTTCAGATATGTGCTTGCTGGTGTCAGAAGCCAAACTAATGTCTCTTGACATCATTATTCATTATTTCATCATTCAGATGAAATGAGCCCACAACTGTTTCAAAGTGTAGACATGGGGGAACAGAAGGGACAGGTGAGAGTGTGCATCTGACATAGGTTGCTTGTGAGATTTTGTGTAGAACCAAAGTTTTGCCTGAGCTTTCCCATCTCTAAAATTAGGCTGAAATGCTGTAACTGTTATTTCTGTCTTTTACAGGAATTTAGTATCCTCAGGAAAAAAATGTTATTATAGCCCATTTTTTGAAACCTCAGAAAAAAACAGCTCCAGTTTCCTGACCTTTTGGGTAGGAACCTGGACCCTCTGGATCACCCCATGTGACACTCCTGGCTCACAAGTGACTTGCTAAGTGACCACAAAAAGGAGTGACACTGACGTTCTCTTTGGTTTTCTTTTCCCAGTTAAAAAATAAAGAAGGAGGACAAAAACCAGGAGAAAGTGGATGTTTTTATGTTCTCTTTTTGTTTTGTTTGTTTGGTTTTGTTTTTTTTTTTTTTTTAGTTAAGGAAGTGAGGTGACACAGGCAAATTGAAACACTTGGCTGGTTGAAGGGGAAGCCCCAGGCACAGGAGAA